CTTACAACTTCAACTCACAGACTGTTAGAGTCGGGAATCACCAAAGGGATTATCTGTCCATTTTCATCCCCTTCCCTGTTATAAAGGAGGAAACTGAGGCCCACAGAAGTGAAGTGAACTGGGCCCAAAGTCATGTGGTCAGTTTGCAGCAGAAACAGGTTAGAAACTCAATCTTCTGGCTGGGCGTGGTGGCTCACACCTGTAATCCCAGCACTTTGGGAGGGCAAGGTGGGCAAATCACCTGAGGTCAGGCAAATCACCTGTCTCTACTAAAAACACAAAAAATTAGCCGGGTGTGGTGGCTGGCACCTGTAATCCCAGCTACTCGGGAGGCTGAGGCAGGAGACTCGCTTGAACCTAGGAGGCAGAGGTTGCAGTGAGCCGAGATCAGCCACTGCACACCAGCCTGGGTGCAACAGAGTGAGACTTCATCTCAAAACAAAAACAAAAACAAAAACAAAACAAAACCCAAAGCCTTTGTCAACCCACTGCTTTATTCTTGAAAAACGAGTGAGTACTGGTTTCATCAAATGTCAAACTGAATTAGTAAGAGATTTTCCTCCTTCCACCTGTCCTCAAGCAGGGTTGGGTCCTACAGTCCTGTTTCATAGTCCCCATGGACCTCATTCCCCCTAGAATAACCTGTTAGCCTTAGGAATACATAAACACCTGCACAAAAAGATCCCATGTGCTAAGAAGCTAAGAATCTCCAATGAGTGGGGAGAAAGGTATTAGTTCAAGAAATCAACCCTTGGCTTGGGAAATGTCTTCATTGCCTCTTGGGGAGCAAAGGAAAGAGCTTGAAGGACTTTAGCTAGAAGGACCCTTCTAAGCATAGTGGCCAGGTCCTTCATCCTTCGGCACCTGCCTACCTCTCAGTGGTCGTTCAGAACATTTGTCCCTTCATGTCTTTGCTTGGGTTCTCCTGGACCTGTGTGCAATCCCCTGAGCTGTGCCTCCTGCAGCCTCCTGGGCTTCGCATATGCTGCTGTCTCACTTCCCTTCAACTGAAAAACCCAGATTCATCTTTTGCAGTCTTCTGTTTACTTGTCGGTATTCCTTGCTCAGATTAGAAATTGCTTGCCTCACCGCAAGTACCCGGCAAGGTAGCAGTCAATCCATAGAATGGCATGGCACGTGCACCTGTGCCCTTCCTGCATTTGCCCCTTCTTTCTTCCCCTGTCCCCTTCCCTGTTATGCCAGAGAGCTTGCTCTGTGCAGTGGAGGGTCTGCTCTGGCTGTGTGCCAGTCAGGGCTGGCTGCATTCTCTCCCCCTGCTTTAGCAATTCCTTGCCCTCTCTGAGCTCGCTTTTCTTTGTCACATGGGAGCTGATTCGTTGGGATCTCATGGAGGCCCTCAGCCCCATGCAGTTTGGTTCCAAAATTGAATAAAAATCTCTGAGCTTGTGGAGGAAGAGGTTTCCTTTGGGCCTGTGGGCTCAGGTGGGCTGTGCTGAGCTTTACCCGAGGGAACACATTACCCACCAGGCTCACACCTGTGGGCAGGGCCTGCCTGCGACACCCTCCTTCCCAGCTCAGCAAGAGCCGTTCTCCAGAGACCCTCTGTGGACTCTGGTCTCCCCCCATCAGTGCTTGTGGCTCTGCAAGCTTCTCACTAGGAGCGTTCGTGGTGAAAACTCTCACAAAAATAGCTTCAAGCTGGAATGAGGAAAATAAAATAACTCCAGCCTGTCCCTGCCAAAAACAACAAAGCAACAGTGTGCGAGCAACTAGCCCAGCCCTCTGGCAATGGATGCTCACAGCGAGGCTCAATTACTCTCTCTTCAGCTGCGGCACATCCCACAGATCCTGTGTCTGGGGTCATGTGCCATTAATTAATTAATCAATCGATTAATTGATTGATCCAATCCTCTGAAGTCACTGATAATTCAACCTTATGGCTTGGACTTGTGATTGCTCCAAATTCCTAGCCTTGGTGTCATCTTTTCGGTCACTCCTGAAAATGGGCCAACTCCCTTGTCTCCCCTGTCCACTGGACCTCCCCAGGTCCACGCTAAGGAAATGATTGCACAAACAGCTACTTGTTTGATGGAAGGATCATAAAAACACGCCCCCGCACTCGAATTTAGACTGTGTCTTTTGTTAACAGCCGATTAATAATAATCAGTAGCTGGCTATTGATTTGCTCTCTTGAATTTCCTTTTTTTCTTCTTTAAACAGGTAAATAATATAGACCTGGTTTAAGCTGAACAAAGCCAGAATCCTCAAATCCATACGAGCGCAGACATATGTAAGCCCCGAAGCAATCCAAATGCATCTAAATATTCTTTGCTGTATCACAAATGGATCTAATTTTTTTTTTTTCTGAAAAGGAAGCCAGAAATCCAATGAAGCAGTTCAAATTGTAATTTAAGCTATAGATTTTTAAAAAATTTATGAAGCTTCTAAACCGGAACGAGGCAGAAGCATCAGAGAGACTCCCGACTAATTGAACAGTCATTTCATTTGGTTCCTGTCCCTGGTAGGAGCGGTCCAAGGCCAGCCTCTGGATCCCTGTTCTTCTGCATCTGACAGTGTAGATACCAGCAGGGCGTTTTCCAGCCTGATGTAATCATGGGTGAGTTTGTCTCAGGAGAGGGACTTTGACACTCTGGCCCAGTATGGAAAACTGGTCACTGTCAGTCCTTCTTGTTTAACGTGAGTCACCTTGGTGGGTCTGCAAATGGAATTGTGAACCTCGGAGCTTAGCGGTATAGCTTTGGCACTGCCACTAACTCACTATATGACCCTAGGCCAGGCCCTCCTCTCCCCTTGAGAGTCTGCTCAATTGGAAAATGAGGACATTAAGCTACCTGATCCAGCAGGCCTGTGGGCCTGTGGTAGGCAGAGTAATGTCCCCCAAAGATGTCCCTATTCTAATCCCTGGAACCTGTGAATATGTGACCTTACATTGTAAAAGAGGCCTTGAAGAGGTGGTTAATTTAATAATCCCAAAAATGGGAAGGTTATCCTGGATTATGCAGTAGGTCCAGTGTCATCAAAAGGGTTCTTTAAAGGCTGGGCATGGGGGCTCACACCTGTAATCCCAGCACTTTGGGAGGCTGAGGTGGGCAGATCACTTGAGATCAGGAGTTTGAGACCAGCCTGGCCAACATGGAGAAATCCCATCTCTGCTAAAAATACAAAAGCTAGATGGGCATGGTGGTGGATGACTGTAATCCCAGCTACTTGGGAAGCTGAGGCAGGAGAATTGCTTGAATATGGGAGGTAGAATATGGGAGCTTGAATATGAGCTGAGATCATGTCACTGCACTCCAGCCTGGGTGACAGAGCGAGACTCTGTCTAAAAAAAGAAAAAGTGTTCTTTACAAATGGAAGAGGGAAGCAGGAGAGAAGTCACGGTTAGAGGGAGATGTGCCTGTGTGGATTTATGACAGGAGAAGGACTTAACCCGTCATGGCTGGCTTTGAAGATGGAGGAAGGGGTTGCAAGCCAAGGAATGTGGGCAACCTCTAGAAGCTGGAAAAAGCAAGGAAACAGAGTCTCCTGTAGAACTTCCAGAAAGAAACACAGCCTTGCTGGCACTGGGTTTTAGCCCAGTGAGACCTGTGTCAGACTTTTGACCTATAGAACTATAAGATTTGTGTTGTTTTAAGCCACGAAAGTAGTAGTTATTTGCAATGGCAGTGATAGAAAACTACACAAGACCCTTTCTGGCAACTTCACACTCTTTAAGAATAAAACCTAGCTTGGCTGACAGCTGGCAGCCCCATCTGGGAGAATGCTTGGGAGGAGCTATCACAGGGGTGCTCTGTCCCAGCTGCCTTCTGCAGCCCCCAGGACTGCCAGCTCCTGGCCATGCTTGGGCGTGAGCATCCCACTGGGCAGGGAGGCAGGTGCTGTTATGGCACTTTGAGTCTCAGGAGATCATCTGCTCCTGCATCTTCCCTTCACACAGGTAAGGTACTATCTTCATCCAAAAATTAACGAGCTGTGCCCGGAGAGGTGCATGGTCTCACCCACTGTCACACAGCTACCGAGAGAAGAAGGCCGTGGGGCCAGGGCTCGTAACTCCCGGTGGGAGACTCTTCCATTTGTCACATTGGGCGAGTAACTTTTCCTGTGTTAGTGGGTCACGAAGGAGAGACAGACAGGGAGGTTGGATGGCAGAACGGGACCAGAACCCTGAACCTCTGGTCTAGCCAGTGCTTTCTGAGCACCTGTGCGTGAGGGGAAAGGCACAGTCACATTAGACCTTTCTTCACTGCTTGAGGAGAGACTTTGAGTTGGGAGTGGTGAGGGCTGGGAGGGAAAGTAAAAGATTAGGTTAAAGGAACTGCTGCTATGGAACCAGCATGGTGCTAAGGATGAGGATTCTGCCTGAACAGGAAACTCTCTTTCACACCTGGAGGCTGAAAAGGGCATGCCCTACACCCATAACACCAAAAGGCACCTCCCAACCTCTCATTCCACCTCTAAGAAGTCATGGGGAGCAAGGCAGAGTGCCAGTGTGACCTCTGGGGGGCAAGGCAGAGTGCCAGTGTGACCTCTGGGGGGCAAGGCAGAGTGCCAGTGTGACCTCTGGGGGGCAAGGCAGGTCGGTTTGCTGGGGGTGGGGAGGCCAGGAAGGCTTGTGTGTGGGAGGGAGGCCATGCTGGGGCCTGTGTCCAGCCCAAATTCACCGACGGGGTCAGAAGGGGTCAGGGTAGCAGACAGATCACAGGGGGACACAAAGTCCTCCTTGATGGTTTCCATGTCTGGGCAGCGTTCTCCAGGTCACGTGATTATGGTCCAGGGCAGCCTCCTTCAGAACGCGGGCTGTGGCCCATCAGTGGCACTCGAAGACATTTACAAGGTTGTGAGCAATCATTAAAAAAAATTTAGAGTAAACATATAGAGTATGCACAGTTTGTAAAGGTAAGTGTCGTTGCATAAAACTTTCCAGATACACAGTCTGCAGTTTTGACCTGGCAGGCCTTTCCTAGGCCCTGGAGGGAGAGAGACTTGGATGTGGAGAAAAGGCAGAAATAACTCAGCCATTTCCACAAGACCAGCTTTTAATATGACTGTGATTTGAAGCACGAATAAATAAACGCCAAAGAAAATGGAGAAACCAAACCAAACCTCAGAACATCAAAACTAAAAAAAAAAAAAAGCATAAAACGAAGCAAAACAAAACAAATCTCCATCGGACAAACATAAAAGTCCCCCTATCCCAGATAAAAAGAATCAGACTGTACAAGCTGTGTCACAGGGAGAGAAGAACGACATGGCCACCATGGGTGAACATATGAGCCCCCCGCCCGCTGGCTGCTGTGCCGCCTTCACAGGCTCTGGGGCGGGAGGGAGGTTGGCACAGGTCACCTTAGGCGCCAAAGCCCCATGGGCCAGCTTGGGGAAAAGAGGGTTTGTGGGCAGGTTAAGAACCTTCACAAACGACACAAGAACTGAATGTAGCAGAGAGTCCCACGGGTTCCCTCTTGATTGTGCAGTTCTGATTCCAGGGTGGCCTCATGGTGACTTTGGACCTGGAATCTGGTCCCACTGCACGGGCAGCGGTGTGGACACTGGAAACCGCGTGGAGGAATGTCATGTACAAGACAGACGTGGAGGTGGCGCCATAAGAAGTCTGAGCATGCAGGTGCTTTATACATCTGGCAGTGAGATGTGATGGCAGGTTCGTTCTTGGACAGTTCCAGAGTGTGACTCATCTCTCCTAAGAGGGACGCACGGCGGGGCCCAAGGACGCGTCGTGTTGGACGTGGCCGGAGCGAGGTCTAGGCAGCTAGTCTGCAATGTGTGCATAGGGGGCTCTTGCTTCTTTCCAGCATCAGGGGCCATTCCACCTGAGCTTGCTCTTCCTTGTCCTGGTCTTGGGCCTCAAGGTCTGTTTGGAGGGGGTGCCGGGTGGCTCGAGGGGTGTCAGCAGGCAATCTCCTCCAAGGTCCCCAGGGCCGTCTGCAGGGGCACGTTCACAGTGTGGCTGATGGTTTCAGAGTGGTTTGGCATTGTGTCACAAGTACTCTGGAAGGGAAAGGTTTGGTGGGAGTTTATTATTCGCTCAGCAAAACTTCACTGTGATGCCACCAGCTGCCCAGCATAGGCCCTGGGGAAGGTGCTCCCCACTTCTGGGCTGCTCCTGCTCCAGACATCTGACAGGCTGGTTTACCATCTTGGGGGCATGAGGCTGAATGGAATCCTTACCATTGCACACTTGGGCGCCCGCTACGGCAGTGAGAAGGCTCCCTGGTTTGATCGGCAGTTGGTTTGATCCCTCCTAGAGGTGCCCTTCATGTAACTGGACCTATATCTGAGTGGTCTCTAGCTTTGGGGCTGGATGGTCCTGAGTCCTGACCTCTCCCCTGGGGGCCTCCCTTGGGGCTATGGTGCAGGAAGTACAGCCCGTGGCTAGGCCTGGGGCAGGAAGGACCCATGGCTGAGGCCAAGCAGGAAGGGTAGAAGGCCTTAGAGCTCAGAACCAGAGCTGGTCAGTCCTTGGGTCAGTCCCCAAGGACTTTTAGGGTTAGGCTGGACCCAGAGAAACATAGCCGTGGGTCCCTAAGCAGGGAGGGGCCGAGCTGGCCACACATGAATCTCCAGGGTGGTTCCCAGGCTGCGGTGGGTGGGAGGCTGAGAGGGATTGGAGCAGGGACGGCTAGCCAGGAGGCTGTGCCAGGAATTTAGGGAAGATTTGATGGGGCCACAACTAGGGGAAGAGGAACAGGATGGAGAAGAGGCCATGGCACTGAGACCTTCTGAAGCAAGGGGGGCTCTGAGGGTGCAAAGGGAACCACTGTCTAAGCACCTACTATAAACTAAGTGCTGTGCTGACTGCTTTGCCGGCAGGATCTCACTTAACTCAGGTGACAGCCCCCTGCGGTCTGATCTGATGCAGATGCTTAGAGAGGTTAAATATGTAACTTGCCCCCACGCACACAGCCAGGAAGCCGGAGCCTTGGGATCCAGCCAGGCCAGCTGAGGCCAGACCGGGGCCCCTTCCACACTGCCCTTCCCCTCCCCACTTTCTGTTCCACAGAGGTTGCAGGGGACCAGAGAATCAAAGCAAGATTTGTAGACAGTGTGTGAAACAGAAATGGAATCCATATAGGGGGAAGGGGCTGGGGTCCATTTTGGATTTGTTGATATTAAGTGGGTGGTGGTCACTCAGTGGGCACCGTTTTCCAGGGCTGGAGGTGCTGATTTGGGGCACAAGGCTGGATGGGGAAAGCCGGCAACATCTGCACCCATCAGCCAAGGCCTGAGCCCAGGAGTAGACTGAGTTTGGGAAGGAGAATGACAAACAGCCATAGAGGGGCTGCCCCTCGGGCTATAGGAAAGAGGCAGAGTAGGGCAGTGGTTAGAAGTGCTTGGAGGGCAGCTCTGACACTCAGCAGCTGTGGGACTTTGGTCTCTGGGCCTCGACTGCCTCAGATACAAAGTGCCTGACACGTACCAGGCACACGATAGTCAGTAGCTATAATGGGCACTATTGCTACTTCTAACTTCATGGGGCTCCATACTCTGTCCGTTTTGAACGGGATGGAGAGCCAGTGATGCTCTGCTTGTACTTTGCCACCACTGGGGAATAAAGGAATAGACGTACAGAGCCTGTCCACTTCTCCCCCTGCTGTGAGATGAGGGGAGCAGCTGTCTGCCTGAGAGAAGCTGGATTGGGCCAGGCACGTCCTACACTTGGAAGCACCTCCTGGTGTCTGCTGCATCCATACTGGCTTCTGGGATGAGTCTCAGAGAGAGGCTCGAGGCTCAGCTGGAGTGTCCTTGGATTTGGGAAGTGACAGCATGTCCCAAGCCATGGTAAGGTGTGCAGTGAGTCACATCTTTCCTGCCCGGCCCCAGTATCTGGTTTCCTACTGCTGGTACAAGCCAGAGCAGCAGAGCAACTTCCAATCAGTGAGCTGCTCTTACCACATTCTCATCGTGGCTCCCTTCGTCCTCCTCTTTGCCAAGCAGGTCTAATAGCTTCTCTTTGATCAGCTGCAAGAAAAGCAGGAAGGGGTTGGTCAGGCTGCGAGGAGGGTGTGGAGATAGAAGGGACCTCCCTCCATGGGGCCCTGCTGGGGCTGGCAGCTGCCGGGGCTGTGGCTGGACATACTGTAGCACAAGCCCAGCCTGGCAGCCAGCTCCAGGTGCCTGTCTGTCTCAACCCAGCCTTTCGGCTGAAATGGGATTTTGTTGCAGGAGATGGAGCTTGGAAGAGGTAATGGCGGGCCCTGCTTCACAGCGTGGACTGCTGTCTTTGTGGCTGGTGAGTGTTAGTAAGTGGTGTGTGCTGGTACACTGGCTCCCTGTCTGTCCTCAGGAGCAGCCTGGGACCCCCTTTCTGTGGCTGGGGCTGGGGAACAAGATTATTATTCAGTGTCTAGGCCTGACACTGCACACAATTCAGAAGACCTAGACATGCCTGAGTTCATGACGTTTTACTCCTAGCAATAAAGCATAGTTCTTAAATCTGTTACCTGGTGTGATTCAATTGCCATAACTGCGTACAGTTTTTCACGAAGGTCAATAAACAAGGCAGAAAAAAATCTGGCCATGGGAACTGATGTGGTTTTGGAGTCACTGTGCTGAGAGGCACGAGATTCTCCAGAGAAGCCTGGTCACTGGGGCACGACAGGTCCCCACTGTGGTTCCGAGCAGCCTTTGGTCACGAACAGCCCCCTGTGAGAGGCAGAACATGGTTCTGCAGGCTCCTGTCTACTGCTCCGGTTTGGGGGACTTCATAGGTCCAGGCATTCCTTGGAAGTTCTGGAGCCATTGCCTTTTTCAGGGGCGCATGTTGGAGGTGAAGTGCATTGCCCATCTCACAGCCAAGGGGATGGAGGCCTCCAAGGGAACACCTGTCAAAGCAGAGCCTGGGATAGTGGCATCCACAGGCTCGCTCTCAGAGAGATGCAGGTGAGAAGGCTGACCAGCTCCAGGAACCCTCAGTGCCAGAGAAGCTTTCAGAGGCCTCGTTCCAGTCATTTCTTGAGGAAGACATCTCCCCAGACGGTTAGCAGCCAGGGCGGCTGGCGTGCCCTGCTGTCTTCTTGCTCAGGATTGGTGAGGACTGCTGGGAAGTGCCCCTTCCCTAAGACTGGCTGGGCCATGGAGAACATGACTCAGGCGATGGGCCACCTACAGGGCAGGTGTGTGTGTGGGGGGAGTATGTGTGCAGGTGTGGACATGCCCATGGATGAAGCCACCACCTCCAGCCCAGCTTCAGGAGGGGCTCGGAGCTGGCCTCAGCACAGTCTGGCCTAACTTCCGCTCATCCCTCCCCATCCTTCCCTGCCAGTGTAGATGGCCCAGTGCTGTTCCAGCTCCCAGAGGATAGGCCTGTGTTTCTCTTATATCCACCGCCCCCCAAAAAACTCCCATCCCCTTGCCCCACGGTGCCTGGGCTTCAGTGATCGACTCTATCAGTGGACAGGAGGGGAAGCAGACTCTGCATGGAGAGAGGCACCGCCTTCCTTCTACCGTGTTTCTGAACCTGGGGCACGATGAGGGCACCAGCAAGTGGTCATTTCCCTGCAGGGAATCCCAACTCTTACCTCATAAATATAATCAAAGAGCTCTAGTATTGTAAGGATACTAGCACCAATGAACAATCCCATCTGACCACCAATATCACCTGGAGAGAGAGGGAAAAGACCAAAGCTTTGCTTTTATGCAGCTTCCAGGAAGGGTGAACAGACTGAAATGCAACCCAGACCTTCTGAATGGCGCCCCCTCCACGGGGAGCCTGGGCCTTGTTGTGGGAGGTCCAGGCCTTTGGCAGCTCCTTCCCTCACTGCACATCTCTAAGAGCTACTGTTTTTCAGCATTCAGTGGGGTCAGGGACTAAGCTGATGGCTTATTGGAAGGGCTTAGACTAGATCTCATGATCCACAGTGCTAATGGAGTTGTTCAGGTACACTCAGAACCACACCGATTGGGTCCTGCTTTGACTCTGGGCTGGGAATAGGGAGAATAGAGAGCTAGGATGTGTGTGGACTGGTGGCAGGCGCCCTGGGTGGGAGTCTTGGGAGGAGATGCACCCCCACCAATCCAATCACGGCATGGGCTTCAGGGCCACCTTGGGGCACCTCCCACCCTTGGGATAAGGTCATAGGTGTCTCCTTTCTCCCCCATCCAAAAGTTAGTGTGCAATTTTGACTCTTTCTAGAGCTGAGGTTCTTACTCTGGGGTTTATAGGCCCCCGTTGTTCAAAGTTTTTCTGGATTTGTCTTCAGATCCCCCTGCATCCAACTCTCCTGGAAGAACTGTAATCAGTGTTGCTGCCTGGATACACCTAGGCCAATAGAATCAGAGCCTCTGGGGTTGGGGTCTGGGTGTCAGGATTTTTAAGTTTCTGCTGGAGGTGAGGTGCGTTCTCAGGCCCACCAGAGTTTGAGAACCACTGTCCTGGGAGTACTTCAGATGGCTGGAGACTCTCCTGAAATTGAATGTGAAATGTGTGTGCTTGGGCATTTGTAGCAGGAGAGTCCATAGCTATTATCAGTTTCTAACAGGGGTCCTGAGTCCCCAAAAGCTTAAGATGCTTTGCTGCAGAGGCAGTGTGGCAGAGCCGAGGGCTCTGAGGCTCTGAGTCCACAGAGTGGCCACCAACTGGTTGTGTAGCTTTCATAAGCCTTGACCTTCTGAGGAGCTTTGCCTCCAAAGGACATTTGGTGGTGGTGGCAGGATGGAGGGGATTGGATGAGATGAACTATGAAGTTCTTTCTAGCCCTAATCTCTAAGACTCTCGGTCTCTGGAAAGAGGGGCAGGAATTGGGGTTGGGGGGCAGAGTTCGGGGTGGCTGGTCGGTTCTCTTGGAGATGCCAGGTTGACCTCTTGGCCTGAGAACTCTCTGGTGGGCAGATCTGCCCCACTCCTTCTCAGCTTATGGCTGGGTGGGGTCCCACGTCCGTGTGCTCAGGTGAACCACAGAGATAGTGGGGAGAGGGCTCTTCCCAGTGGAACTTGGTGCTGGGCTCAAAATGGCTCAAAAAGCTCTCCCTCATTCCTTTCCCATCACCGCTTCCTCTCATGTCTTTAATGGAGGTTTCTTGGGGACTGTGTTCTAATGGATATGTATGTCAGGTGGGAGGCGTGTGATGTGCATGTGCAGTGTGAGTCTGTAGTGGTAGAGTGCGGGATATGTGCCAGGGTCCAGGGTGTGTGCACGTATTTGTATAAAAGCAGGCAGGAGGTCTGGCTGTCCATGGTTTTATGTAGGTGGCTCTCCCTGTCTATTTTAGGCACTCTGAGTGTGTCTAAGTGTGTGTGAGTGTGGGTCTGTGGAGGTGAGCAGAGTGTGTCTGAGTGTGTAGAGCATGTGTAGTGTGGGTGTGCTTGTGTGTGTATATGGGGCCGTGTGGGGGCTGTGTGCATGGGTGTGTCTCTGGAGCTGTGGGATTGGCACGTGGGGCTGTAGAGGTATGCATTTGTGTGTGTGGTCCTGGACCACCGTGGGTGCATGAACCTGTAGGTTTGGTGTGTGTGTGTGCAGACCGGGGTGGGGTACACTGTGGGTAGTGTGAACGCTGTGTAGCGTGCATGTGCATGGACACCAGGAGGTGAGAAAGGGCCATGCGGTGTTGAGAGAAGGGCCTGATGACTGAGGGTTTGCAAGCGGCACACGCTCTCATCACAGGAGGTCCAGATGGCAGCATGAGCTCCTCAGCCGGCTATTCTGGGTGGGAACACGATCGATGCTGGGAACAAGCTCATATCTGATGCAGACACGACAGATTCAGAGCTCAGGCCCTTCTTGCTCTCTATGTCTCTCTCTCTCTCTCTCTCTCTCTCTCTGTGTGTGTGTGTGAGAGAGAGAGAGAAAGAAAGAGACACACATAGAGAGAGCAGAGAGAGAGAGGAAGACTGTGAGCCTATGCTGGAGGAGGGCAGGGGGTAGGAAGAGGCCTGTCCTGGGTCCTCTTTATGGAAATAAAGGGCAAGGCCAGCACAGGGGTGAGTGAGCGGTCTATGTTTCTGGTGGGGCCAAGGGCATGAGTCTCTTGGCTCAGTACCTTTGGTCACAATGACTTCTGAGGCTGAGTGACAGCCACTTTAACCCAGCTGGGACCGAGCTGTGGTGGGGAGTCCCCAGCCTCCTGGAGAAAGTGTAGAAATGCTTAGCCAGCCCTTGGACACAGCAGCTGAGCCCTGGGTCCCTGGCATAGTGACTGTCCAGGCGCCAGGAACTACTATTTATGGACCTTTTCTGAGCTAGGGGTTTATCACATTTAACCATCACAACAAGCTCATAAAGTGGGTTTTATTAAACCCATCTTGCGGATGAGGAACCTAAGGTTCAGCAAGGTAAAGTTACTTGTCCATATTCTCATAGCTGGTGTGAGAAGCCAGGTAGTAGGTATCTGCCCCTTCCAAAACGCTAACGTCACCTGGTTCAGCTCATGGAGACAATAGCTATTTCTCTTTCTGGGGCACAGGCATCAGATCCTTTCTTGAGAGGGAGTGAGAGCTGAGAGAAGCGCTCGAGAGTCAAGTCCTTTAACTGTGCACTCTTAGGGGTCTTGTCAGTTTTGGGTTGGGCTGGGGTAGGATGGAAATTAGCTCCCTGTATCCATCATATGCCACTGGGGCCGGGGAGCTCATGTGAACTTGTATGGAGTGGCAGCAGGTTTGTAGATACCTGTGGAGAGTGACCCTTCATTTGTGTTTGACAAATGACTCTCAGTCCAGGGGACAACACCTGGCCTTCCGGATGCAGCAACGTTGCTTTTGGGGTGAAGCTCCATCAGGGCCCTTACCTCCCAGGTCCCACCTGGGACCACCCACAGTTCGGCCTTCCCTCCTTCTCTCCTTCTGATACCTCTTCCCCCTCTCCATGGCCCCAGGATCCTGACTGCAACCTGGGGCAGAAGACCATGAATTCTAAGAGTGCAGGGCTGGAGAGGCCCAGAGGCCTTTAGGCTGACCCTCCTCATTGCATAGATGGGGAAAATGAAGCCAAGATTGGGGAATAAATTGGGCCTGAAATTCCACCCCACTGGGGTCCTTTCCATTCTGGGAGAGGAGCAGTGCAAGGAAAGAGGGAGCAATTGTTAGTAAATTAAAAGGTTAGACTCCTCCAAGGCTATGTGTCTGTCTGCTTGCCTCCCATCCACCTGTACATCCTCCCTCCCTCCCACCCTCTATGAGATGTGGAAATTTGTGCAATAGACACCAACTTACCAAGTAAGGCAGCAACTTCATACGCCTTCTTCTGTTCAATTGTCTCATAATTGAGAGCTTCAAAAAATATATCCAGAACAAGGATGTTCTCTCTGCAGAGAGAATAGTCAGTACCATACACGGTTAGAGCTATCAGCATTCACAGGGAGCATCTAATACAGCTTTCCCATGGAAAGATGGAGAAACAGAGACCCAGGAAGTGAGGCAGCTTGCCCGAAGTTAGAGCTGGTTAGTGGCAGAGCTGCGGCTTCAAGTCAAGAAGCCTGACTCCCAGCCCAGTTCCGGAGGCCTACATCAGCTACCTCCTTTTGTTCCTTATTTCTGTCTCCCTGCTTTCTGTTTGCACCCTTTGCAGGAGTCCTGCCTGGCTTCCAGGCCTCTGCACCTCCAAAGGGCCTGCCTGGTCCTCAGCATGAAGGTGAGTTTCAGTAATCTCTTGACATGGCTTGCCTTGGCTAGGGTGCCTACTCCACCTGACCTCATGGGTAGCCCCTGCCCACTCCTGAGACCCCCTAAATTCCCCCTGGGATTTATAACAAGCTCCTCCTGGTGGGAGGCCCTGCTCTGGCATTGCCGAGTCAATTGCTGAAGTCAGGGAAGGTTTGTAGGGAGCAAACTCGTATCTGCCTGGGGCGTGTACTGACAGAAGCACGGCGGCTTGCTTTGCTCCTTTGGGCAGGTGTGTGAGTGAGACACATCTTGGCAGTAAAAGTTGTTACTGCCTGCAGACTGTGCCCAGCAGCAGGGCCTGGCATCTCCTACAATTCCCGTCTCCTCCAATGTGCTCACAATGCCTTCAGTGCCCCTTGTTCTCAACCCACTGAGCAAAAGCTGGCTGGGGATGGGGGTCTGGGGACAGTGTTGGCAAGAGGGAGGGGCCGGCGAAGAGAGAAACAGATTATTCTTTCCGTGAGCAGAGCTCGCAGGGCAGCTGTTCAAAGTATCACCCTCTCTTGCTTGGCTTGCCACAGCTGCTTCCTAACAGCTCCCTTCTTCCCATCTGCCTTTCCCCCGTCTTCTCTATCGCCGCCTGAAGGATCTTTCTAAAACTGCTAAATTGATTCGAATTAAATAAAATTACAGTTCCACTCCCCAGTCACAGGCTGCATTTCAAATGCTCGTCAGCCACATGTGGCTAGCAGCAACCCCACTGGGCACTGCAGACACAGAACATTTCCATCATTGCACAGTATTTGACCTATTGGGGAGCAGTGGTCGAAAATGCAAATTTGAGTCTGTCACTCACCTCTGAAAGCTCTTCAGTGGATCCCTATTCTGTTAGGATAAAGCCCACCCCCTATGCCCGCTCAGCTCAGCCTACAAGACCCTCTTGCTCCGACACATCCATGCTCCCCTTTGAAGTCTTCTCTTCTGCCCTGTGCTGATGGTCTCTGCTGAGCCTCTGCCTAGGACACCCACTTCTATGCTTCCATTCATTTATTCTGTTAAAACACATTGAGTGCCAACTCTGTGCCGTATGCTCCACTAGTATTTGGCAGACAACAGAGAACAAAAAAGATAGTTTCCTGCCCTCAGGGGGCTTTCAATCTAGTGGGACAGACAGGTAATAAACAAGGAAACACAACATGACTATGTAATTACATGCTGTAGTGTTATAAAGGAAAACACCAGAGGAATTTGAGAGAAAAATAACAGGAGTGCACCTCATCTAGATGCCTGAGATAACTTCAATTTTATTTTTATTTTTGTTTTATATTTGTTTTAGAGACAGGGTCTAACTATGTTGCCCAGGCTGAGCTTGAACTCCTGGCCTGAAGCAATCCTCCTGCCTTGGCCTCCCAAAACATTGGGATTACAGGCATGAGCCACCATGTCTGGCTGGAGATGACATTTAATTGGAGACCTGCTTAAAGAGGAACCAGTTAGGTGGAGGGTGCGAGGAAAAGAATTCTAGGCAGAGGGAATAGAATGTGCAAGTTCTGCCTGGAAAACTATACATTCTTTAAAAAAATCTCTGGGCTGGGCGAGGTGGCTCACGCCTGTAATCCCAGCACTTTAGGAGGCCGAGGTGGGCGGATCACAAGGTCAGGAGATCAAGACCATCCTGGCTAATACACAGTGAAACCCCGTGTCTACTAAAAATACAAAAAAATTAGCTGGGCGTGGTGGCGGAGGCCTGTAGTTCCAGTTACTCATGAGGCTGAGGCAGGAGAACGGTGTGAACCTGGGAGGTGGACTTTGCAGTGAGCCGAGATAGCGCCATGGCACTCCAGACTGGGCAACAGAGCGAGACTCCGTCTCAAAAAAAAAAAAAAATCGCTGAAGCTTTCCCTGATGTCACCTCATTGCGAGCTGTAGCTAACCCATCATTCTCTCCTTCCATGTGCATCCCCCTATGACAGCCAAAGTCACCCTATATGTCATTCAGTGTGTACTTGTCTATCCACAAGACTGCAAGCTCCTTAAGGGCAGGGGCTGTGTCTTACTCATCTTTGTCTTTGTATTCTGAGCATGAAGCAGAGCTTGACACACAGAGGGTGCTCAGTGACTGTTTGCTGACTTGAACTGAATGTTTATCTCTGCTTTCCTCCTTGATTGCCTCCAATCTCCTCCTTATCCATTTCCCCCTTCCTCCTGCCTACCATGCCCACTAAACTTACGAGATATATTTTTCTGATTTGTTAAATTTCTTCTCAAGGTACTTGGCTGATGTCTTGCTGGGGATCTTCACCATGGAGAGCTCTTTGTTGTAGCGGGTCAGGTTGCAGGGTGTCCTGCAGAGACAGTAATTGCTGTCCTTTTCCGCCAGCAGACCTGGAGGGGAGAGCGAGGTGGGGCTTAGTCAGGTGTGGGGACTGGGATTTCTAAGGGTCCAGAGTAGCTGGATTCTAGCAGCTGAAAAGTGAGCTGAGAAGGGGTGCTGGTCCGGGGAAAGTGCGGGGCAGGGATTGTGGAGAGAGGGGAACTGGGCTTTTGCTGTAGGTTAATCTTGTTTTCTTTCTGCTTCCTTTAACTGTCATGTCACTCTAGAAATTATTGAAATGTGACCACTTTTGCAGAGGTCTCCAAGACCGTCCCGGTGCCCTCAGCTTCCCATGGCTTTCTTCCCTGCTCCTAGCCTCAGTATTCTCATCCACAGAGTGGGCCACCATCAAAGCAAATGTGGGAGACCGTTTTACCTGAAACCCAGGGCTCTGTGCTAATCCTGCCGGGGCTCCCTCATAGCCAGTGCCCACCTCCTCTGCCTGGTGGGTTAGGATGCAGGCAAAGATCCTTCATTCCTTTCCCTGGAGGCAACTCCCTGCATCTGGAACCCTTCCTGCCCTCTCCTTTCTTCTTCCAGTTAGACATAATGTTTAAGGCATCATTTCCCTCTGACAAAGACTTTCTCCCTGATCAAACTTAGCCAGGCTCTTCAGAGCCCTGTTCTCGACTAGGCGTTGACCTTGGCCCCCATCCGTGCTGGGCCTGCCTAGCCCAGTTTTAACAAGAATCCTGCTAAAGTCAGTTTAGACAGAATCCCCCACCCTTGATATCTGATCAGCCTGGCCTGCGTCAGCAGATTTCCCCCTACCTTTGAGGTTTTCTCTGGGTAATTTTACATCTACTGAGCCCTCGCTCTGCTTGATGGCCATGAATCTCCAGCTGTCTTGGCTGTATTCTGAGTTGAATCCCATCTCTTTCCCCTGTTGTGATACTCTTGACACCTGTTGCAATTCCCCTGAATAAAGACTTCCTTACCATTTTAACTAGTGTCAGAGTGATTTTTTCTTTAACACCTCCTTCCCTTTTCCCTCTAGCCACCTCAGTGTTTCAGGCTACCCTGGGTTTTGCTGAGTCTTTGCACACATCAGAAGTCACTCCCTCCCCTCTCAGCCTGGCCTCCCTCTCTAGTCCTCCTGGAGGTATCCGGACCTGAGGCCAACACTGCCTCGCTTAGCTCCAGCAAGTGCAGATGCTGAACGAACTTGAGTGCACATTGTTTAAAAAGTCCGCTTGTCTTGATTGTAAGCCATTTCCTGGGTCCAGAGAGAGGCGAGCAGACAGAGTGGGCCTAGCTTTGGGGTGGCAGCTTGTTTGTGCACTCTCTGTCCCTCCTAGTTTTCCAGCTGGGGAACCAGCAGAGTTCTTCCAACTGGCAGACCCCCAGCAGGCCGCTTGGGGAGGAGGAAGGAGTGTGCTCTGTGTTTTCCATTTGCGCACATGCAATGCAAACCTGACCTTACCTCTCCAGTCCTCCTCCACCTCCCCAAGCTCAATGGAGCAGAAGAAAGATGTGACTTCAGAATCACCTTGGCCTCGGATTGTGTGAGGGGAGGTATTGCCAAGCTCCTCTGGTGCCCACCTGGCTGCCCACTGTCTATCCTCTCTCCACCTCTGTCCTCTCCCCTGCTTTCCTTAGCACCCTCCGTTCCCCTTGAAACCTACTCCTTCTCCATCTCCACCTTCCATACCTCCTTTCTCTCCCCAGTTCCATTTCCAGCCCTCATCCTCTTGCACCAATTCCCTCCCCAACCTTCTCTTCTTCCTCCTCTCCATCTGCCTCTCCCATCCCTGCAGCAACTCCACTCGGCCAGCCCCTTTCTTCTCATCCTCTCTCCATTCCTTCTTCCGCTTGATCTTTCCCCACACCCAGATGATCTCCTGGATCTCAATCTCAGGCCCCCTGCCCCCATGATTCCATCTGTCTCCTGAGTACTGACCTAGGGCAGGCTCTGCACACTCCTTGTGCTGCTCAGGGGTGCAGAAAGGGGCATCCCCTGCAAAGAAGAAACACCAGACAGAGTTACTCAGGCAGGAACATTCATGTCGGCAACACCTCCTCTGCTTTGGGCTTAGGGAAGGGAGTGCCTCCTGGCAGTTGAAGGGGCAGCGGCCTGCCAGTGGGCAGTTCGAAGAGAGCCTTGGATCAGAGTGCACCCCAAAGCTGGAAGGCTGGCTTCTGATCTGCTGTGTAAGCTTGGGCAGGCTGTTCACCTCGTTGAGCAGGAGACAGTAGGATCTGTATGGCTAACTTCTCCCATGTTTCTCTGTAGGTCCAGCCAGCTCCTGTCGGTGACAGGTGAGCTCGCCTTGAGGATTGAGACTAGGGAGGTGGTGATAAGCACCTTGTAAGCTTGGCTACACATCGTCTTCTTTAACCCATACAGGCACCCTTTGAAGTCAGAAGTACTATATCTGTTTTACCCATGAGAATTTTGAGGCTTAAGCATCTTATCTTCCCAGGACACCAAGCCTAGTAGTGATGGAGGTGGGCTTTGAACAGAGGTCAGTCTGATCCAGAGCCTAGAGCTCTTCTCAGCACAACCACACTGCTGTATGGGAACAAGGGTTGCCTTGTGTTTCTCTATTGCTTTGCTCATAATTCCACATTAGTCACTGAGATGTCAGTATTAGTGTCCTGGGTGTGATTGACACCTCTACTGCTTGCCTTTGGCTAAGGGTTGGTGGGAAAAACCTCACTGGCTGGTGGCCTAGTCTGAGCATCAGGTGAATAATATTCCCCATTGCTGGATTCTCCTTGCTGGGCTCTCTTTGTAGAAACCCAGGATCTTTTTTCTTTCTTTTACCCAGTGCTAAAGTCCACCATAATGTTTTTTCCTTATCACTTCCCCAAAATCCTTTTTCAGAGCTGAAGAGTTAATAAGCTTTCTCCTTTCCAAAAACAATAGCTTGACATGTTTCCCTGTTTGCTCTGCCTTCTAGGAAGCTCAGAGGCCATTTTATTTTATTATTATTTAAAACATACAAATTTATTATTATGTGACAGCTTAGTAGGTCAGAAGTTAGGTATCGGTCTCATTGGTCCAGAATCAAGGTGTTGGGTGGGAGGCCGATATTCTTTTTGGAGGCTGTAGGGGAGAATTCATTTCCTCGCCTTTCTCAGCTTCCAAAGACCATCCCCACATTCACTGGCCACCCACATGCATCGACTACCCACATTCTTCTGTCTTCAGAGTGAACAAGTTTGCATCTCTCTGACCTGTCTTTCATAGTCACTTCTCCCTCTGACCCTAGCTGGAAAAGGGGGATTGATTTTGAGGATTCTGATGAGATTTGGGCCCACCTAGATAATCTCCCCCACTTAAAGTTGGTAACCTTAATCATTTTGGCAAAGTCCCTATTGACAGAGGCAATTTTAAAGATCAGTAATTTAAATCTTAGATTACTAAGGAAATTGCTGATAACTAATGAAATAATTCAGAATGTAGCAATGAGGATGTTCATTTCAGCATGGATTATAACAGAAAACAATTGATGATGAACCAAATGTCCAGTATAAGGATTTAGTTAAGTAAAATTGAATAAAGTATGATATAACCATGAAATAACAGCTACTAAATACAATAGCAACATTCCTGGCACATAGTAGGTCTTCAGTCAACATGACTTTTGGTGCCCTCTTCCAATATGCTAAATAATAACCACTGACTTTTATAGTTTACAAAACATTTTATATCCTAGCCTAATTTTCACATTGTAACAGCTAATGATTGTGTTTTAAAGACCATAAACGTGAGAACAGAGAGGTTTAGTAACCAGGTCACACAGTAAATGAGTGGAAGAGCCTAAATTAGAAACCAAGGCCCCATTCATGCGTCCTGGCTGCAACACCACGCTCTTTCTCCCCAGATCAGCTTTCCACTTTGCACTTCAGCTTCTGGTATGCCAACTGCATGAGATGGCCACATGCATTGTTAGTGTGACAAGAGAGGTGTCATGACATGCACATTTATTTGCTGGCTAATAGACTATTGCCTCATTTGAAGGAGTGCTAGACATTTGGACACAAAAAGGGAAACATCTGGATGAAAGAAAGAAACATCTGGATGCTCAAACATGTACTACACGAGCTGTAAGAATTGCAAGCATCCAGTTTTCTGGACACTAAACTCTCAGAGGTAAGAGCAGCAGACAATTGGCAAACATTGAACACTGGGATGGACATTCCCCCAACACTGGGTGCTTCTGGATAGCAGGATGCTGTCTTGGTTGCTGGACTAGAAGTTTCCACCTGCCCTCTAAATGGGCACCAAATAACAGAGTCTTCCCAGAACATCATCCTTTTGGATCCTAGCAAAGTGGGTGAAGTGTTTCCCATTAGGATGAGAAATGCAAGGCGGGTTCCAGGCAGATCCCAGGGGCCCTGTGGCCACCCTGCCCTGGTACTGACCTGGCATGTGAACCATGCGGCAGTTGCAATTTTCCACGATGTAGCGGGTCTCACAGTCAATCCTACAGGCGGTGATACTGTAAACAGGAAAAAAGTCGAGGCCCATCTCTGAGGATCGGCACTCACCCCATGGTGGGGGCAGGTATGTGAGCTGCAAGACAGGAAGGAGTGGGCGGTAGTCAGCCTCAACAGACTCAGTAACTCATTCATTTACTTACTCAATCAAAAAACAATTATTAAGCATTTAAATACCATTAACTTTATAGATCTTCAACATCTGGCTCCAACACTAGTTTTCTTACCTTATCTTAATTTTTTATTTTTTTTCTTAGAGACAAAGTTTCACCATGTTGCCCAGGCTGGCTTTGAACTCCTGGCTCAAGCGATCCTCGTGTCTCAGCCTCTCTAGTAGCTGAGACTACAGGGGCACACCATCAGGCCCCACCCTAACTTAGCTTCTATAACCTTCTTTAAATGTGGTTCTCCTGAGAGTCTCTTAACCCCACCATGTCTTCCCACTCCCACATTTTGTCATCTCGCATCTCTTGGAAAGACCCAACTAAATTCCACCCTCTTGGTTTGAAACATTGGAATCCCAGACCTAGACCTGGAGGACAAAACCCAGAGGAAGATTCAGAATGAAATGGCTCTAGGCACTATCCTTGTTATTTATAGTCCTGGGCCTGGACTACAGAGACTCCCCAGGTCATGCTGTAGATGGCATCTTTTCCCTTTGAAGAAAATTACACTTCTATTCTCAGAGGTCCAGTGATCATAAATGTTCTCCTAGCATCTATGGTACTTGCCTAGTGGGAATGGGAAGGGTGAAGGATGACGGAAATAATGGTTGTTGAGCATTTTCTAGGTGTTAAGTCCTTTATATCCATTTTTTTAAGATTAAAGAATAAAAACACAATAAAATGTACAAATATTAAGTGCACTATTCAATATATTCTAAAAATGTGTTCGCCCATGTAACCAGCACACTAACCAAGATAGAGGACATTTTAAATCACCCTAGAAAGTTCGTTTCTGTCCCTGTCCAATCAGTCCCAACCTACCTGGGTAATCATGGTTATGAATTCTCTCACCATAGGTTGGCTTTGCCTGTTCTCAAACTTCATATAAATGAAAGCTTACACTATGTGTTCTTTTGCGTCTAGCTTCTTACACTCAGCATGATGTCGCTGAGGTTCATCTACATGGTTGTTTGCCCCAGGAGTTCTTTCCTTTTTATTGCTGAATAGTTTTCCAGCATTATGTATGACTACACTTCAATTTGCTTATCCATTCACTTGATCATGGGCGTTTGGATTGTTTCCAGTTTTTGGTAATCATGAAAAAACTCCTATGAATATTTATACATAAGTCATTTTGTGGGCATATGTTTTAATTTCTCTTGAGTAAATGGCTAGCAGTGAAATAGCTGGTTTGTAAGATAGGTATAGGCACAACCTTATAAGAAACTGCCCAATTGTTATCCAAAGTGGTTCTTCTATTTTATATTTCCACCAGTAGTGTCTGAGAATTCTCATTACTCTATGTCCATGACAAATCTTGACTTCATCCACCTTTTTGATTTTAGCCATTTTTGTAGGTATATAGTTGTGTCTCACTTGTATCTGCGGTTCCCTGATGGATGATTTTGAGCACAATTTTATGTGTTTATTGGCCATTCATATATAATATTTTGTGAAATGTCTGAGTTTTCTTGTCCACTAAAAGTTATTATTTTTTTACTTTTACTTTTGGGTTGTAAGAGTTGTTTGTATATTCTGGATTCAAGTCCTTTGTCAGATACATGTATTGTAAATATTTTGTCTATACCACCTATAGTCTGTGGCTTACCTTTTCATTCTCTTAATAGTATCTATTTTTTAAAATCAACTTCAGAAGATATAATTTATGTACAATAAAATGCACCAATTTTAATGTGCAATTTAATAAATTTTTACAAGTGTATACACCCTTGTAACAACTACGCTAATCAGGTATAGAACATTTCCATGAACCCCCAGAATTTCCTATTTGCAGTCACTTCCTCCCTGCCAACCCTCAGGCAACCCCCAATATGCTTTCTGTTATTATAAACTAGATTTGCCTGTGTTAGTATTGTATATAAATAGAATCAAACAGTATGCATTCTTTTGTGTCTGGCTTCTTTCTCTCAGCATAATGTTTTTGAGATTCATTCATGCTTTTGCACGTTTTAGTAGTTCATTCTTTTTTTGTTGCTGAGTTTTACTTCTTCCTTTCTAGTCTTTATTATTATTTTTAATTTATTTTTCTTACCCTGCTGTATTAGCTAGAAAGTATCATGTTGGAATAAAACTGGAGAGAGAAGGTATCTTCCCTTGTTCCTGATCTTAGGAAGGAGGGTTCATTATTTCACCATAATATATTAGGCATATGTTTTTCTTAGATGTGCTTGTCACATTGAGAAAGTTCTGTCTTATTTCTCATTTGCTGAGAGTTTTTATCATCAATGATATATATTTTGGCAAATACATTTTCTACTTCTATTGAGATGATCACACGACTTTTCTTCTTCATTCTATTAATACAGTGAATGGTATTGATTGATCTGAAGACGTTGAAACCAACTTACATTCCTGGGATAAACTCCACTTAGTCATAATTTATTATCCTCCTTATATATTGCTCTATTCAATTTGCTAGTATCTTGTGGAGGTTTTTTGCATGTATGTTTATGAGGCATATTGTATTTAATTTACTTTTCTTATAATCTCCTGGTCAAGTTTTGGTATTGGGAGTATGCTGACCTCATGAAAGCAGTTATGAAGTGTTTCCTCTTTCTCTATTTTCTGAATTTGTATGGACTTGGTGCCATTTCTAACTTAAATGTTTGATAGAATTTGCCAGTGAAGCCATCTGGACCTGGTGATTGTGTGTATGCGTGTGAAGACTTTTAATTATGAATTCAATTCCTTTAATAGATATGGAGACATTCAGATTTTCTATTTCTGTTCTTGTGCTAGTTTTGGTAAGTTGTGTTTTTTCCCCAAGGAATTTGTTCATTTCATCTAGATTTTTGAATTTGTGGGCATAAAGTTGTATGTAATATTCTCTCACCATTTTTTAATGTCTGTAGGATCTATGGTTATGTCTTTTCATGCCTGATTGTTGGTAATTTGTATTCTATTTTTCCTTATTGTTAATAATTTCTAATTTCATTATGCTTTGGTTAGAAAACATCCTCCCGATGGTTTCATTTCTTTAACATTTATTGAGATGTTTTTATGATACTGGACCAGAAAAATAAATCAATGTTTGATCTTGTTGAATGTTCTATATGCACTTGAAAAGTATATGCATTCTGTAACTGTTGGCATACTGTTTTATAAAAGGCAATTAGGTTTAGTTGTTTAATAGTGTTGCTCGGATCTTCTATATCTTTACTAACTTTTTAGTCTACTTATTCATCAATTATGAGAGAGGAGTATCAAAACATCTAATTATGACTATGGATTTGTCTGTTTCTCCCTTTAGTTTTCTCAATTTTTGCTTTGGGTATTTCTGAAACTTATTAGGCATATACATATTTAGGATTGCTACGTCTTCTGGATGACTTGATCCTGTCATCATTGTGAATAATCATCTCATGCAATGTCCTTGTTTTGAAGTTTACTTTGCATGATAACAGATGTGGCAGCTTTATTCTCCAACTATTTATCTTTTTCTATCTATTATTTTGTTTTCATCCTTTTACTGTTAACTGTCAGAATCTTTATATATTTAAGGTACATCTCCTTTTGAATGTGTTTTTAAGGTACATCTATTTGAGTGTCGTATTTTATCCTGTCTGACAATCTCTGTCTTTTAATTGGAGGGTTTGATCTATTTACACTTAATGCAATTTTTGATATAGTTGGGTTGAAGTTATCATGTTGTTCTTTGTTTCCTATTTGTCCCCATTTCTATTTCTTCTTTTGTTCTCTCTCTTCTGACTCTTTTTGGGTTAAATTGAATATTATTTTAATAGTTCATTCTGTTTTCTCCTTTGAGTTTCAATTTATACCTCTTTGTATTATTATTTTTAGTTGTTGCTCTAGGATTTACAGTATTCATCCTTAACATCACAATATACCTTGAATTAATATTATGCCAGTTCACATATAATTCTATTAATTCTATTTATATTGCTTGTGTGTCATACATTTTACTTCTGCCTCTGTTATAAGCACTATAATACACTGTTTGTTTGTTTGTTTTTGTTTTGAGACAAAGTCTCACTCTCTTAGACAGGCTGGAGTGCAGTGGCGTGATCTCTGCTCTCTGCAATCTCCGTCTCCTGGGTTTAAGCAATTCTCCTGCCTCAGTCTCCCAAGTAGCTGGGACTATAGGCATGCACCACCATGCCCAGCTAATTTTTGTACTTTTATAGAGACAGACTTTCACCATGTTGGCCAAGCTGGTCTCAAACTCCTGACCTCAAATGATCCACCTGCCTCAGCCTCCCAAGTGCTGGGATTACAGGCGTGAGCCACTGTGCCTGGTCACACTGTTAATATTATTTTTGCCTTAAGCAGCCCATTGACTTTTAAAGAAGAAAGAGAGCTTATGTTTTATATTTATCCACATATACACCATTTTTATTATTCATCATGCTTCTTATAGATCTGAATTTTCCATTTGATATCATTTCCCATCAGGCTGAAGAATCTCTTTTAACTTTTTTTTTTTGAGAATGGGTTTACTTGTGGCAAAATTTCTCAGTTTTCATTCCTTCAGTTTCATTCGTGAAGTTTCATTCCTTAAGGCGAGGAGTTCAAGACCAGCCTAGGCAACATAGTGATACTGATGGCAGTGGCTGCTACCATCATGCCGGCTGCAGCTGTGCAGCTGGGGCGCGCACTCCATGGAGCCAGTGGGAGCCCTGACCCTTCTGAGTTAAGACTGGAGCTCCCCGTGCCACTGCACCCACAGCTGCAGACCCAGGCCTCCTGTAACTCCTGGGCAGGGCTACAGCCACCCAAACTGCAGCTGTGGATCCGAGCCTCCCTGTGCTCTTCTGGGAGCTGGCCTTCCTGGGGTTGCAGCTGCAGCTGCGGCACCCACGGCTGCAGACCTGGACCTCCCACTCCAGGAAGCAGGGAGGAGCAGGGGATAAGTGGGAGCCCTGCCCCTTCC